AGCGGCTGGGCCCGTGAGCCATGGCCGCTGAGCCTGCGCGTCCGGAGCCTGTGCTCCGCAAATGGGAGAGGCCACAACAGTGAGAGGCCCGCATAACGCAAGAAAAAAAAAAAAATTGAAAGGCAGTTACATTGTGATGTGAGGATAAGGCACAGGATGCCTGACCCTCAAGAAAATGTGATTTGGGAGATAGCCAGAAGCCTATATAAACAGTTCCATATTTATAATTTGGGGATTCACAAAGGTTGGAGGATATAACCCAGGCGTTTTTACCGTACATGGGGCATGGTCTTTTAAGATAATGAATACCGATTGCCATATTTACTCACGGTTTTTACTTGCAGTGTCCAGATTCATTATGTCTTGTTTAAAATTTTTCTTGATAATGGAATGTGTTAGAGAAGTAATCTCTGCCATACTAATACAGATAGATAAGGATGCCTTTACTGTCTAAAGTAGAAAAACTCCCACAAACAACAAAGAGCAACATGAGAATACAGATAATTTGTAGGGTTAAAAATAAAGTGCACACCAGTGGTAATAAAGGGATTTCATGTGCAACCATGCATCATCACGGACGCTATAAAATCCTTTTGTGCTCCAGGAAAAATAAGAGATAACAGAATATAGTCTTCATGGGAAAGTGGTTTGGGTCAGAGCCGCAATCCTTCATTCTTTCATTAACTCAGTAAACATTTTTTGAGTCCTGCTATATGCCAGGCATTGCTGGCTGAGGAAGTGGAACTGAAAAAATAAAATCTCTAAGCCCAAGATATGTACGTCCAGAAAGAAAGACAGAAATAAAATCCCCCATGATACTCCAAATGATAAAGTTAAGGAGATAGAAAGGAGAAGTGCCTGCCTCACCCGGGAAGTGGGAGGCCTGTGGGAGCTCGCTGTGAAGGGCATGTAGGGATCTACTGGACAACAGGAAAGAGAGCAGTGGGGAGCAGTATAGGCCAGCGGAAAAGCATAGGCAAAGGTGTGGGCAAGCGAAATGCAGTCAGGGAACTGCTAGCAATGATCTGACGGGGGTAAAAAGGCACAGAGCAGCAGTGTGGTAATAAACTAGCCTTTGGGGCTAGGCTTAGCTGGGGTTTCAATTTTAGACATAAGCATACTAGCTAAGTGACCTGGAGCATATGACTTAACCTTCCTGAGACTCAGTTTCTTCATCTGTAAAATGGGCATGGGCGCACCTTCCTCACAGTGTAAACTGTGCAGACTAGAGTTCATGTGTGTATTAAAGCACTGTACCTACATGTACATGATGGAAGTCTATATTACATATGCAGAGACAGAAGAGATGAGGACTTTAACAACAGTGTGTTACCCAGAGGTAGGAGGTCATCAAACTCCTCACAGAGACCACTAGGCTCAGAGTCCCATAGAACAACTAGTTCAATAATGATTTGAATCTTCCATTCATATCGACTACGTGTTTGACTTTCTAAGAAAGGCCAGGATTTGGGAGGTTAGGTTACGATTGTCCCCAAAGATTAGTTTTGCTTTTATTTCTAACTAAATAGACATTTCTATGTGCATTTATTTGTAGTATCAAAAAATGTTTGGAAATATGATTCTCCTGGATGCAGAGGTGCATATTTGAAACTTTAGACTGTCTATGTAAATTGTCTGTTTCATACATTCTATTTTGTATGTAATTGTGTTTTTTAACTTCTGGTTTCTCAGTAAGGAAAGGCAGTCTGTGTGACCCAAAATTCTGATGTGCATCAAAATTGCTCTCTTGGCAAATGTACAAAAATCCAGTTAGTCTCCAAAGGACAAATTGTCTTTGGGGACTCAGCTGATCTGAAATTCGCGACTGAGTCTGGAAGAAAATAGTACTCTAGGATTTTTTGAACACAGACAACATACATTTAGGGCTATGTGAAACAAGTTCTCATGTAAATTGATTCAGATGACTTTTCTAGCTGATATTTGTGAGGATTCGTTTGCTTATTTGGAGATACCAAGCATTCCTAAGAGAAAAGTGTAAGACAGTCTTGGGGGGGGGCGGTGGTCTTAAAGTCAGTGAGAACTGTGATGATGAATAGTAACATTTGCTTGATTTCTTGGATTCTTACAGGGGTTTGCCAACTTGTTAATAAGATGGAGGAGACCACTGGCAAAATTAAGCCTTTCAACCGAAATGATGAACAGTTTCTGGAAGCTTTTGTCATCTTTTGTGGCTTGGGGATCCAGAACACACAGATGTACGAAGCAGTGGAGAGAGCTATGGCCAAGCAGATGGTCACATTAGAGGTGGGCTGACACTTACAGGACTTCTTAGTCTCTATGGCCAAACTCTCAACTTACACCTCTCCCTGTAACAGCTCTTGGTGTCTGTTATATCACTGTATCCTTATGACAGTCATGTGCTTTAGATGATCAGATCCTTCTCTCATTTAAACAGCTAAGGAAACTGAGACCCAGAATATTTTAGAAACTTGTCAAGGGTCTTATGACCAAACCAAAGCTCCAGCCGTTGGTCCCTTCAGTCCTCTGCTTTTTCGGCCAAAAGCAGTCCTTGACCTTAATAATCCATTCACACAGATGTCTACTGCCACTGCACCCCGTCTGTCCCTTCCCCATTGCCTGAGCCTCCCCATCTCTCCTTGTGAGCAGTTGTATTCACATGTTTTAAAAAACAGAAACAGAAATCCTAAGCACTCAGAATCAGAAATGAGGAAAAGTGAAAGTCTTTCAAATTACAGATTTGTGGATCCCACTTCTGAAAATTCTGATTCAATAAGTCTTGGGTAGAGGCTAGGAATTATTATTATTATTATTATTAATTATTGTTACAGAGCTCCCCCAGGTGATTGTGAATGTGAACCACTGGCTTGGGGCACTGACCTCAGGCAGACTCCCTCCCAAGCAGGACAAGCCTACCCAAGTGGGCCAGCCCTTTCCAGATGTATTTCACTAACTGCCTGAAGATGTTCACTTCGTGTAACATGGAAATTTCTTACATCATAGACCAATTTAGGGAAATAGACTTCATAAAGGGCATTACTTAGTCGTTCATACACTGGTGTGAAATATACTTTAATGTTTGCCTACTCTTAGCTAGTAGAGATCAGTGGAAATCAATGTTTGGGATACGGATCATTAACTTTTTCTCCAACCCCTAATAAACAGATACCTAACCTAAAGAGCTAGAAGGATATATAAGTCAAGATTTACCAATAACCAAGATGGTATGCTTTACTTTCTAATGTGAATATATAACACTAATAGTTTTGCTATAGTGTTACATAAGAGACCTTGGCTTAGAAACCAGTAGAAATCTGTTTCAAATACACACACACATATGTATGTGTGTGTATATATGCAAACAAATATACATATATTTCAAATTACATATATGCATACATGTACATATATGTACGTGTGTGTGCATGTGTATATACAATTTTTAAGTGAATTTATTTTTACTGTTTCCATGGCTTTGCACTGAAGAATTGAATCTAAGCCAGCTATCAATTAGAAGTTATCTCTTTTTAAAAAAACTTCCTATTTGGGAAATTTCAAACATAATGCTAAAGTAGAGAGAATAGCTTAAGGAGCCCCCATGTGTTCATTAGCTGTGTCTTCAGTAATTACTGACCTGTGGCTACTATTATTCCGTCCATACCCTTGCTCACTTCTCTGCACTCTTCTTCCCTATTAATCCATTGATTATTTTGAAGCAAATCCCACATATCATATCATTTTGTTCAAAATCTCTGAATATTTTCCTGATTGAGATTTATTTCTATTTTTACACTATAGTTTTACTTCAGTCAAATATGAGTCATTAGGCCTTCACTTAATATATACATTTCAATTTCAGTTCATTATAGGAAGGCATATGTACAGTCACAGGTTTAACCTTGAAAAATTTTTTTCTTCTGATGTATTGGATAAAAGCTAAGGACATGAACCCCTCATGTTTTCTTATGACAGGGAATTATTTTGACCTGGAAGACATCATTATAATGACAGTAAAACAACAACAAGAATAGCTAACCTTTATCAAATGCTTACTCTGTGTTCTCACTTGCATTAACAAAATTAATCCATATAACCCTACGAGTAAGGTGCTATTTTTATCTTCAGTGTGTGATGAAATTAATTTTTTTTAACTTAGAATGTCATGTTATTCCTTTATTCACTTATCCATGTTGCATTGCACTGATTTATATTAGACTAATTCATGGTCATAGTCTTAGCCTTTCTCCACACACCACCTCTGTGGTGTCAGCAGCAGCTTAGCCGTGACCTGTCCATTTCACAGGAGCAGGAGACAGCAACTCCAAGGTTCCTGAGGTTTCCTAGTGATTAATGGTTCAAACACTAAGACAAATCAGGTGTATCATAGTATTATAACACTCTGAATCACAAGATAGTAGGTGTATATACCATTTGGCTTTAGATTTTGAATTGCTTAAAATTTTAAAAACTAGTTCAAGGGAAACTAGTTTGGGCTGCTGAATTACTTGGCTCACCATTTAAAGTCTGAACATGGGATACCTTTTTATCACTGATTTGAAAACTTTGAGGGATTTTAGTATATCTGTGTTGACTCTGTCAAAAATGAAGTTTTAAAAATGTGTTTTTAAAATATGATAGACAATTTAAAATGCAGTCACTACCTTGGTTTAAAAGAATGTCTAAAATGTTATTCCATTACGTAGAAGTTACCACTTTTGAAAATGGGAATGAATGATTCTCATGTTAAGTTATAAGAAGACAGTAAACCTGCCTTACCATCTTCTTACAACTTAACTCACTAGGGCGATGGGAAGTGTACTAGATTGGGAGTTGAAAGCTGGGTTCTAGGCCCTCTTGTCTTCTCACTGGGTGTGAGCTCACAGCCAAGTCATGAGGATCCCTGAGCCTAGGTGTCCTCAGCTGTTAATGGATAGGTTTATAGACCAGCCCTACTCTTCTCAGTTCCTGAATCATATGAGTGTAAAAGGATCCTTGAGTCTGTGTGACATTATATCTCCGCTGTGCAGTTTTTCCTTATGAATTCTGCAGTGGTTACATACTTCATCTGAGAGCCACTTCTAGACTACTTTCTTTCCAAATATCAACGTTAAAATGTCAGTTTATGCAGACGTCTTTTATCTTGATTCTGTACACAAGTAAAAATAACTAAAGTCAGGTTTTTTTTAAAAGAAAGTGACCCAAAATCTTCTGCCAAGTTTGACCTAATAGTGTGGCTTATAAATAATGTGTTTGTTGTATCAACAATGTCAGAGGAAAAGTGACAGTTTTCTTTGAACATAGGGAGTATACCTTCTGTTTCCGTAATAAGCATTTGAATCAAAGTCTGGGATTTTCTCTCTGTTGAAGAAAGCAGCAAACAAGATATGATGTTCTGAGGAGTCTAGCTGTCTCTGCAGGAAGTTTTAGCAGAATCTCAGGCTTGAAATTGTGGTCTGTGTTTGGTAGTCCTCTCTTGTATAACCTGCAATCCTTCTTTTCTCACCCTGTAGGTTCTGTCATATCATGCTTCAGCTGCAGAGGAAGAAACACGAGAGCTCCAATCCTTAGCGGTAATCCTCCTCCTCTTTCTTTGTAGAAATGACTAACTAGAGCCATCTAATTAATACATAAATATGCTTCTCTCAGGACAACTGCTTCTACTGGTAATGGTCCCCTAGACATTTAATTAAATGTGGTATCTATTTATATGGACATTTATAAAAATATCTAATCAAATCTACTTTCTTGCAGGGCTAGAAACTCACTGATAACACAGAGCAAAGGATAGCATCATATTGATTTTGTAATACATTATATGATTCTGATATTTTTCCAAAAATTGTTATAATCTTTACATCTTTCTTAAGCCAAAAGTAAATTTAGTTTTCAGTTCATGGGGAAGTGTGGACAGGCGGCTGCAAGGTGGTTGGTTGGTTAGAGTAATAACAGCAAAGATTTTATAGCTTGTAACTGATAATGTACTCTGTGTTATTAAGAATTGAGAGTGATTTTAATTTCTGATCATATGGCCTACAGAATGTTATTTGAAATTGGGTTCAAATGAGGTCAGTTGCTGAATTCTCACTACATTCTTATTTAGGATACTATGAGAGAAAACCACATTGATATGTAAGTGGAATATCACGTGTTCTAGGTCTTGATTGAGATTGCCTTGGATGAGATTAATGAAAATTCGAGCCACTTACACATTGACAACCAAGACTGACCCTCTGAGTTTAAATTTACTTGAGACAACATAAAATCTATATGAGATTTGATGAGAGTCACGTAAGGAATGAGAAGGGTCACTGAGATCATTGAGATTCTTTTTCTTTGTCGTCATCATCATGGCTTGCCAAATGTTCACCCTCCGTGCCCTTACATACATTTTCTCATGTAAACAGGACAGCTGTGCTATGAAGCAAGGGACCTGCTCATGGTCGCAGTGGCAGGAAGTGGAGAGTCAGGATACAAACTCACACTGTCTCTCTCCAGAATGCATGCATATAATCACTGTCTTATCTGTGATGGGCTGTTAGGGAGAGAGAAGGCTAAAGATGATTCAGATGTCCTGACCTTGGTAATTCAGAGAGTGATCATCCCATTCATTAACAAAAGTGGAAATATTAAGAAAGAAAACGGATAGATTTGATTTAGAACATGGTAAGTTTGAGGTAAGTGAACAACCAGATAGACATCTTCAACAACCAGGAAGAGCAGGTCTAGAGTGGGGAGGGGCTGGTGGGCAGAACTAGAGGCGGTGATTTGGAAGTTAAATCATGGGATCTGGGGGAGTCCCGTGGTAGTGAAAGACTGGGAATGGAGCAAGTTGGGGAGAGTGCAGAAAGATGTGCAAGGCTGCGGGCAGAACTCTTGTGGGTATAGGTTTAGATGGAAGGTGTAGGAAAAAAAACCAGCTAAAGCAGAGAAGTGGGAGTTAAACTGGGAGGAAGGTTTAGGCTAGGCAGTGGCACAGAAGGCTAGTTGAAGTTTTTACAAGAAAGGAGATCCCATCAGTTATAGGAAGGTTGAGAAATAGGACTGAGAAGGCTGCTGGATTCAGTGATTAGTTGATTGTTTAGAAGGCAACTTCAGGAGTGAAACTGCAAAGGGTATGAATAAATGGTGAGAAAATGGAGGAAATGAATACAGACTATTTTTAAAAATACGGTTTGTATGAAAGAGAGAGTGAAATAGCTAAGACAGGTGTTGGCTGCATCATGTGAAGTTTTTTACTTGTTTTGTTTTGTGTTTGTGAGCACGGTTTGCTCACAAGCAGGAAAGCAGCATGTTCTTGGACAAAGGGGTAAGGTCCAGGGTGAGTGTGAGACTAAGAAATTTAGTCAATTTCTTTCAAGAAATTGAAAGAGGTCTGGACCTTGAAGTGGCCTAGGTATTAAAGAGACATTTCTTTGGCCAAGACGAGAGAAAAGGGATAATAATAATAATAATAGTAGTAATAGTAAATAATAATAGCTACACTTAATTGAGCACTTACCATATACCTGGCATGTTTGAAGTTCTTTGTGTGTGTTAACTTAAGTGTATTAAATGCACAGCCATCCTATAAGGTCAGTATTAGCATTTTGAAAATGGAATTTGAGGTTGAGAGGGTTTAGATTGTCCTACTCAGGATCTCCCAGATCGTGAGTGATGGTGCCAGGACTAAATCCAGGCAGTCCAGACCCAAAGCCCACACGTCATTGCACAGCACTGGAGAGAATGAGCTAGGAAAGAAGGAAAGAGAATCAGGACTTGTAGATGTTCTTGATTAAATCACCGAGTAGGAAGCTGAGTCATCTGCCAAGAACAGTTGAAGGAACTTGAGATGATTTCATCTGAAAGATTAAGCTTCTCTAGGGGTTAGCCTCATTCGAATTGGCTGTATTTCTTTTGTTCATGGTGATGTTTGAAGGAATGAGACATTTTTCAATTATTTACAGAGGTTTAGAGGTTTAAAGTATCTCTCACATCAGACTTAATTGCCCATTTGTCTAATCCTCATAGAGTGATAAAGTTTTGAACTAACTGCGTACTGTGAGCTGGAAATGATCGCATGGAGAGATACATTTTCAAGTGCTTGCAGGCTTTGTGGGATTATTAAGTTAGCTCTAAAATGAGGGCAAGGGTACACTTTGTTGTTTTAGATAAATAAAAACTAGCAAATAGAGTCATTTCTAAAGATAATGCTTAAAAAAATCCATTAGGATATTAAACTTTGCTTTTTACTTTGAAAATAGCATAGTCTTTCAGAAAAATTTGAAAATTATTTTCTCAATTATGTTAATAATTTTAGCCAGAGAAAAACACTTTGGAAAAACTGAGAATTGCTATATTGCAGTATTGTTCAAAACCATCTGTTGTTCCGTTTGGAAAATAGATTTCTGGCAGCTGCATTGAGAAATTTAGGATAACATAGCTTGTAGGTCAAATAATTCATTTGAATTGGTTGGAATTCAGCAACTGATTTCAATTCTGTTTTCTATCATCCTAATAAAAATTCCTTTGCAGCCCCAAATACACAGGTGTCTGCATCATCCCGAAATTACCAAAATTGCTGTCTTAGTCATGTGTCTGATGGTTTATCTCAATTTAAAACCTAAAATAAATTGAAAAGCTGTCAAATGCTTCTCAATTTTTATTTTTAGAAATCAGTTCTTGAAAGAATTAAATAATGTGCTTAAGTATACTAAACATTTATGCCTATGTTCAGAAAAGTTTTCTAGTCATAAAAGTATAACAAAGTTGATAGGAAATTCAGAATCCTTTTTTTCCCTTGCTTAACTTGAGTTTTTATCCCATTTTTAACCTTATTTTCTCTTGGCTTAAAATTGGGTGTAGCAGAAATAGGGCCTCAAACAAGCATTTTGCCATATACCTTTTTTTTTTTTTTTTTTTTTTTTTTTTTTTTTGGTT